AGGTTAGCGAAGACCTTCGAAGGATAACATATCGAAAAATAGCGAAATACTTATGTTAACGTTAACTTTCGAAGGTTATCACTAGAAAAAATTTTCTGATGTAGATAAACTACTAGATGAATTACCTAAATAATTTATGATCAAAAATTTATAAATACTATATCTATTGGTTGTCTGATAGATGTAAAAGTAATATATATATTCATATACTTATTGAATATTTGATAGATATATTAGGTATCTGATAGGTGTAAAAAATATTTTATTATATTTATCAGATATCTAATATACTTATTAGATATTTGATAAGTGTATAAATATATATATTACTTTTATACCTATCAAGTATTTGATAAGTATGGTATTTATAAATTTTTAATCAGTGTAGATTAATTATTTTCTGCTAAAATTAGTATAACTGTAAATTAGTAAATTACATAGTGCAATAAATTAAAAGAATATAAATATAAGTTCTTTTGATTTTGAGAGTAGGATAGGTTTAAAAATCAAAAGTAATTATTATAATAATATATCTTTTTATACTTATCTCATTAGTTAAATACAAAAGAATTGTTATATCAAATAATGATTCTTATATTATAGATTAGTTAAAAAATAGAAAAAATTAACTGTTCTATTATATTTTATATTATTTTATATTACAAATTAGTTAAAATCAAAATTCATTTTTAATATAACTAGAGATAGTTGGCTTAATTAATTTTAACTTGGTTCAATTAATTGTATTCTGGTTAATTGATTTTGTTTTGATTAAATTCTAGTTCAATTAATTACATTAACTAAATTTCAGTTCAATTTAATTATGCCAACTATATAAAGTTTCATTATAATTTTTAAAATTCTTATTTTCTCTCTCTCTTTTTCTAAAAAAACAATTAGAATTTTTAATTTATTATAAAAATATCATAAAAAAAAATCATTCTTTATTATATAAAATCAATTTAAAAATAAATATAAATCAATTTCCTTTAAATATCAAAAAATAATTATTTAATAAATTTTATAATTGTATTAATCAATCAGAATTACATCAGAATTTAACCTTTATACTAGTATTTAGCTATTGTATCTAATTGTATCAGAGTTAATCTTTAGATTTAATTAACTAAATTAAATCTAGCTAAATTTTTGGTTCAATTCATATTGCACTTCTTATTTTTATGTATAACAATTTTTTGTATTTGACTTGTATCTTTATAATTTCTTAATACTTAATTTTTATTTCTTATATTTTGTATTTTATATTTATTTTATTATTAATCTTTTAATAAAATTATATCTTATTTAATTTTAATATCAATCTGTTAATTTATTAACTTGTCATATGAAATTTTTTGTAATAAATTATTTAAACTCTTATGTTTTTTTAGTATATATATCTTACCAAATAGACAAGCTAGTTTGATATACTAAAATCACTAGTCAAAAAATTATAAATACTACACCTATCAAATATCTGATAGTGTAAAAGTAATATATATATTTATACACTTATCAAATATCTAATAGATATATCAGGTACCTGATAAGTATAGTAAAATATTTTTTACACCTATTAGGTACCTGATATACCTATTGAATATTTGATAAGTATATAAACATATATATTATTTTTATACCTATTAGATATTTGATAGGTGTAATATTTATAAATTTTTAACCAGTGAATCCCTTTACAATAAAGAATTTACCTTATAATATTCTTTTAAAAGTCTTTGATAAATAGTTTAAATTAAGTTGATCTTGTAAATTGTAATAAATTATTTAAGTAGTTTAAGATATTTGTTTGAGAATATTTGTAACAGCACTAATTAGATATGTATAGTATTTGTAAAATTTCAACTAGTACTTAAAATTTTAATTAATAATATCTACTGCCTAAATTCAAAATCCAATAATATTTTTTGTCAAAATTTCAAATTTCAAAAATTTCAAATATTAGTAATTTGAAATTTTGATATTTCAATTTAAATTATATTATATATATTCTAAAATTGATTTTGAATTTTGAATTGTTTCAACTTTTTAAAATTTATTTAGAATTTATTTTATATATATGTAAAAGTAATAAAATAATTTGTCTTATATAAAAATTATTTTAACTTTTTCTTTAAAATAATTTTTGAATTGTACAAAATATATAGTCTAATATATTCTTAATTAAAGAATTTATTTTAAATAATTTAAAATTTCATTTCTATAAAAAACATTTCATCTTTCATTTATTTTGTTTCTTAAAATTATGTAAAATTTAATTTCAGGTGTAAATATCATAGGTCAAATACAAAAGATATATTGTATTAAAAAGGAATTCTGATTTTAGCTGATTTATAATATAAGATACAATAGGACAGTTGATTTTTACTGATATATAGCATAGGAATCACTATTCAGTACAGTAATTTTTTGTATTTGACTAGTGTATAATAATTATACTTGTACACAAAATAGACTATTATTGTAAGTCAAAATATTTTGGAATCCAAAAGTCAAAATAGTTTTTTATAAAAGACAAAATTTTTTAAAACTTGATTTCTATTTTTAATTAAAAATACACTTAACTATATATTTTTTTTACTTTCATATTTAGATTAGATTTTGTATAAAGTTTGAGAGAACGAAATACATCAAAAATTCAAAATCAATTTTGAAAACATGTATAATAATAACCATTCTGTATAAATTTTTATTCACAATTGAAATTTTATTAAGTAATAATTCTCAACATAGAATTATAAATTTGATATCAAAAAATCTTCAAAACTTAAAGATTAAAATTACTATATTCTTAGTTTTAATATTATTTAATATTATTTTTGTTAATCTTTTAGTAAACAAAATACTTTTATATGTAGAAACAAATAATAATTATTTCTTTTTTTATATTTATATTTTTATAAATTTCAGCTATTTTTATTTATGTCTAAGTAAAGTTTAAATTTCACTAGATATTATGAAAAGTGATTCTAATTAGTTGTCAATTTGATATAAGATAGTTGGTATCTATTTTTAATATCTATCAAATCCAATAGGAGTAATGATCAAATATTAAAATTATTATTTTTGGTCTTTACATCAATTTACTTGTAATAGGGGATTGATTTAAAATTCAAAATATATACTTTTATTAAAAGTTTCTTTAACTTAAAAATTTAGAATAATATTACACATTTTAATTAAGATTCTTTTGAGAGTAATTTCTATAGCGAATAAATATAATTACTAGAAATTTATTCACATTTAAAAAAACAATAATTATTATTTTATTTTATTTTCAAGTTAACAATTTTATTCTTTGTTATTTATGATTTCTTATTCTTTGGGTATCCAATATTTGGATAATTTACTTTGTGTTTCATCTAAACTGTAGAATTTGTGGGAAGTTGGATAAATTCTCAAAGTGTTTCTAATATGTTTCTCTTCAGTTGATGCTTTTCGATAAGAACATACTTGTTTGTAACAATTTTTTAATTTTTACCAAGTGTCACTATATAAATTTCGCAGTTGAGTTATCTGCAATACTAAAAATCGTTTCTTTGCTTGGTTTCACTGTGAGATTTTCTTACTTTGTATTACATACTCTCCAACCAAGAATTTTTTTCTTTAGCTTCACAAAAAAGAAAAAAAAGTTGAGCCGATGAACGAGTTGCACTTGTGTAATGGGTCATAGAACAATTTATTCAATGAGACCGGATAACTAACAACCATACTTTAGTTTTTTTTTAATAAAATTCTTTCTTGATTGGAATCTCTTCATAATATATTTTTCATGTTGTACACCTTGTAAAACCAAAATTTCATTTGAATTTGCAATTTTGAAATAACAAATCTTGAGCAACCATAATGGGTAATTATTTATATTTTCAAATGAATATCTTTTTACTATATAAAATAATAAATAAATAAATAGAATTAAAAATATATAATTTAGTGATGGGGCATACAATCAAATAAACATAAAAAAAACTTGAAGCATCCTATTTCAGAAAAAGGTTTGTCACAAATTTGTTATTGGTTTGGTAAAATAATAAAAATAGACAACATTGCAATAACATTATTAGTAAAAAAAAAAAGTTCATTATTATGTAATGATAAATTATAAAAATAAATAATTTATTTGAAGGTAAAATACCATCTTGGGCATTTTACGATAATCTAATAATGAAATGTTATCAGTATGACTGAAACATCCTCATGGTTAATTCGTATACTGTAAAAGTAGCTCCTGCTGCTGGTATACTAAAGCAAAAAAAGAAAAAAAATTTTTTAAACTTGAATGAATAAACTGGATTTTATATAATCGACAAATCATAAGTCAAAGAATAATTACCTTCTCAAAACTTTTGTTATTGAACAAAAAAAGTTTTTTTTTTTAATTATGATATATGTATTAAAAAAAAAAAAAAGACGTATTGCAATTGCACTAACTTGTAGGCGTAATTCCTCGCGTAAATGCTTGAGCTCCTTCTTTTTTATAAATCGTCTTGAATATTGTAAATACATAAAATAATCCTTTTGGAGGATTATGCTGATTCTGAACCTTTAATAAAAAAAAGAAATTTAATGTTGCGTTTTCATCTTGTTACTAATTCTAGGAACAAATACGTACTATCGATTTAATAACATCCAACGGATAACAGCACAACCAATAAGAAACACCTCCAAAAGCTCCAGCAATCATTAATTTACTTGGTGGTAAATCATTAGGATTACCTTTATCGGGGGTAAGTTTTCTTTTAGAAAATTCAAATCCACTGTAAAAGCCAGCGTACGCTGGAATTTCTCGAGCCACAGTGACCCAAAAACCTCTAAACAATCCATTTCTTATTCCAAATTCACGAATTAAATGTCGAGCACAGTCAACAGGTCCTTTATAAATTAGAGCACTATTTCCAATTGAAACTTTATTCGATCCATATTGAGCTTGCATCTTGATTTTTAATAATTCTACTGGAGAAGAAAGTATACTATTTACCGCCCCTGAGTATATAAAGTAAAAATTGATAGGATATAAGGTGATCGGTCAGATTAATACAGCAGAAAGATGCAGCCGTTTATAAATAAATGCGTTTCACACCTGCCCCGGCGCCAGCAATTGCAATCTTATAAAGCGGAAGTTGTTCATCTAATGCGCTGGTTTGGATTGATTTGAGACGAGAATAAGCAGCGAAAAGCAACGCATTTACAGCTCCAATACCAACTAAAGGACTAGCCATTCCTATTGGATTAACTTGCGGTAAATTTTAATTTGTACTTCATTAATAAACAGCTTTAGAAGGCTTAAATTGACCTTTGTAAAGCGCGAGAGGTCCTTCAAGCTTAACCGTCTGTATAAAGCAATCTGTGGGACCTTTATATTTTTCAGGATTTACTTGAAGTCGGACCTTTTTAATGAAAAATTTACGATATCATTAAAAAGCTTGTAAGGAATTGCTTAAAAATAACTCAAATATTTACTTTAATGGTATCCAAAGGTTGTCCAACAGCAACCTGAGCCTATTATACTCGAAAATTGAAAGAAATAAGATAGTACATTTCTGTCATAGTATTAAATGCAAATACATTATGTCTAGTCTACAAACGTACCATCCCAGCAAAACTAAGTAATTTTAGTACTTTTTCATAAAATTATTGATGTTATGTATTTTATACATTAAAGACGACTTTATTGAAGACACCAACCTGCCTGCTATAAAATCTTCCCAGCCACTTTTTGTAGTAGGAGGATTTTTAAGATCTGACATCTTAAAACGTAAGGTTATAAAATTTGGAAAATCAATTAAAATTAATTAAATTATCTATTACGTGCGTAACTAATTAGGAAAATCTTACAATTATTATGTAATTACCTTAATAGGGTAGTTTATTTATTACTATGTATCACGCCCTTCGAGTATCGATTTTTATTAAAGGGAATTTTTACATGCGAAAACCATATTTGTCACGAATATTCGTCACATGAAAGAAAATTCTAGACCAATGAATTCGGAGGGTGCACAGGATAAAGCTCTTGCCAAAAGTGAACAGGTGATCAAAACTACCAAACTACCCCAGTCTACGTAATTTTATAGTCCATAATTTAATAGATATAGATAAATCTCTGGTTATCTTTTTTGATGCTAAAGTATCGTTTTTGAGACACCTATGGTTATTTTTTTGATACATCAAATACGTGTGACAAAAATGGTCAAAAAAAATGGGGAAATTTAACCTGTGCGTAGGGTAACAGATTCTTATCCTATGCCGACAGGGGGGTTAGGGTTTGGGTTATCAGGGGTAGTGTATTTATCACTACGTGTCACTAGGGTTGTTAAATGGAGCATAATGTTCTAGTACCAACCCGGGTTGCTTCATGAAGTAATAATTATAATTATAAAATAAATGTCTGCGCAGTATAACGTTACGCAATATTTTTAACATTTCTAACATTATACAATATATTTATTTTTATAAAAATATTTATAAATTACAAAACGGAAATGATTCATCATCGTTACAATGTAATAACTTTTTATTTTAATAAGTAAATGTCAAACACTGTAATAAGTGATCTGATAGATAAGAATGATATGAAATATGAATGGTTAATTTCGAACACGATGAATTATTTCTGTTTAAAATTTAATCGCTCATCATTCGCTCAATTTTGATGATATAAGTCTGAAATTTTTACAGGAGATGTACATCATTCTTAACTTTCAACTCAATTATTACAGTATTTGATATTTACTTATTAAAAAAAAGTTATTACGTTTTAACTATGATAAATCATTTCCGTTTTGTAATTTATAAATATTTTTATAAAAATCAATAATAAATATTATATCGTATAATGTTAGAAATGTTAAAAATATCATAATGTTATACTGCGAAATGATAGTATGACATTTATTAGTATAATTATAATTATTACTTCATGGAGCAACCCAGAGTAACCTGGAGTAACCCGGAACAACCCATGGAGTATTAACCCAGTACATTTAACTATATTTAACCCAAGTTGGGTTGGATTAATCCTTGCTCCACTATAATATGAACCCAACCCAACCCGTTATGTTCTATTAACAACCTTACCAATAGGTATCCGATAGTAAGAAAAAAGTATCTGATATTGAGGAATATACAATAACCGATATATATCCAATATACTATACAGATATATTGAAGATATGTACCTGATAAAAAATAAATGAAATTGGATACCCTTTAAATGTATAATATATTTGAAAAAAATACCAAAAAATTGAAGTCTAATATGTGTCCAATATCTATCAATATGTGTTCGATATGTGTCTAAACTTCAGCATGTTCACCCTACCTATCGGAAGTCTGATATATTAAAATTTATTGAAAATTGGGTACCTATCATATACCTATTGAATATCTGATAGGTATATGATAAATGTTGATTTTCACAATTTGACCAGTGATAACTAATTAATATATGTCATCAAATATAAATATTAGTTGAAATGTTATTAATGTATTATTATTCATCAAATAAATTAATATTTACTAATTGAATTTAAATATTATTATTATCTAATATTATTGTTAATTATTTGTAGGTGTTTTTAGTATTGTATTATTTCATTCTGTAACAATGTGCTATATAACTTAACAGTTATAAATTGCGAATACTGTGAATATCATGTCCTACTGACCATTTGCAAAATTGTCACTTAAGCCTAGTTAACCATTACATAGTGAAATTAGATTATTGCCATTGTTTTGTTAATCAGGAAACTTAGCAAAAACCAGAAAAGTGTTTAAAATAGAAGTTTTGTTCTATTTTATTCTTTTTTATTCTTTTTAAATCTTTAGATCTCTAAATTTTATTGTAATCAATAGATCTAAGTTATTTATATGTATAGAATAGATCTCAACATGTATATAAAGAGCTTAATTTTTCTTTTAAATCGAGAGACAAGAAGTTTAAGACTTTATACTTTTATATTTTTAGCATATAGACACAAAAATAAACTTTTAGATAACATGAATATATATATATATAAATAGATCAAAACTATTGATTTTCTATAATGAAGTACATATTAAAAATGGAACTTTATAAAAAATCAAATTTAATACAATTTGAAATGTCAAGATCCTGTTCTACTAAAACAAACATGTAAAAATAATGTACATGTTCATACACTTATTAGGTATCTAATAGGTGTAAAAAATATTTTACTACACTTATAAGATACCTTATATACCTATCAGGTATTTGATAAGTGTAATATTTATAAATTTTTGACCAGTGAATACACAAGTTAAATATAAAAGATATGCCATACCAAAAAAAAATTCTGATTTTAGCTAATTTATAATATAGGATATAATAGGATGTCAATTGTTACTAATTTTTAACTGATCTATAGTATAGGAATTACCATTTGGTACAGTGATCTTTTATATTTAACTAGTAGTATATAATAAAATATATTGCAAAATGAGAATTTTCACATGCATTTAATATATAAGAAAATAATATATTAAGTATTATTGCAAGAAGACTTGTTTCTATAGAATTAATATTTTTTTTTATTAGGACATCAAATTTATAATTTTTCAATGACAGTTAAGTTTCTGACAACAGAACCTCCAACATTAAGAACATGTGCAATTTTACCAATATATATAATTGATGAAATAGACAAAAATCCATATTATAATAATACAATAATGAAATATTTTTATCATCCTTATCTATCAGAATTTAATAATCTTACATACTTTTAATATTATGAAAAATATTCTATTACTCCTTCATCACCAATAACATCTTATCAAATTTATCATGATGAATTAAATAATTATATAGTAAAAAGAACAAAAGAAATAATAACTCAATATTGATTTCTTAAATTTGAAGATAGCAAATTATATTTTTATCAGCAATTGTTATTAAATGTTCTAGCAAAAAATAAATCTTATACTGAATAGGAACTAATGAAATATATCATGAAAAATTCTTATCAATGTTTCCTGAATTTCTTATTACATTATAAAATCAAACTGTAAATACACATCAATCCTAAATAACCCACTTCAATAATTAATTTTTAGAAATATTAGATAGATTATTACATTCTTTTAATGAACAATTTCCAATTAATCTTTCTAATATTATACAAATACAATTGCAAAATTTAAAAATTCTTATATACTTCCAGAAACAGCTATATTAGAATTACCCATTGATCAATATCATGCTCTATCTACAATTAGAAATGGAATCTCTTGATATAAAGAAAAAAAAAATAAAAGCCCAAAGAGGGCCCATCACAAATAATAAGCCTATAAATAATGAGAAATTCAACTGAGCAACAATCAAACGCAACAAATATGCTCGTACTTTTTTTTTATAAAAAATCGGTGAAGTGGAGAAATGGATGAGGTGTGTAGAGAAGGTGAAGGATTTGTAAATTGGTTCGTTCGAAAATGGCATGAAATAAAAATATATAAAAAAAATGAGCAACGAAAAAAAAAATATCAATATAAATATAAAGATAAATTTTTTGCGACAGTTAATGAAGTGAAAGACTTTGGAAGAAGACACATGTAAATGGTTGCCAATTCTAAAAATTTATTTTTAATTAATTATATTTTTTCACGCAATTAAAACATTGATGTAACATTTCTGGAATACACAATTTTTTTCGGTGCATTTGCAAACTAATATCTATTTTTTTGTGTGAAAACTCTTCCGTATTAAAATAATGGCTTCGCTATTTTTGTTGCATTTGTATTGCATCACGAACCAGAAAACGATCATCGAATTTTGGATTCACATTTTTTTTACTGAAAATAAAATATATACAGTAATGATTTTTATTTTATATAATACAAAAAATTTGGTTTATTATACATAAATTCGTTTATTTACAATCTATAAATAATTTTTAATAAATATAGTAAAATAATAAATTAAATTAATAAATATAGTAAATAAATAATAAATTAATAAATTAAATTAACTAAATAAATTAAATTAATAAATTAAATTAAGTTTTAATGGATTTATCTTTAACATATTCCCTAATTATATTTATCATCCGTGTAAATTGATCTGGTGGAGGATTTCGTAATATGAACTTCTCCCATACTTTCATCATTTTTTCTGGTTGCTTTTTCATGGAAAAGGCTCGCATAAATATAAAGTAATCAATTGAACGTGGATAAATTTCTCGATGATAAAGTTCATCCCATATTTCTATGATATAATCCCACATTTGATATCGGCTAAAGTGATTGATTATTATGTGAACACTATCAATGTCTGGAAGTGGAATATTTAATTCTCTGTGTGTAAATAAAGAAGAAGATGGTGATGGATCTATATTATTGGCTATGTTATCATCATTACCATCGGATTTATCAGATTCAATCGATAGATTTATTGTATTTGTTTTCTGAACTGAAGAAGAATTAGAAGAATCTGAAGAATCTGAAAAATTTGATGGTTGATTTTGACTGTACAACATTTTCATGAATAATAAAAATGCGCCATTAGCCCGTTGTTTATCTCGAGCAAGCATATTCAATATAATATTATAATGCCAAGTATTAAGTTTTTCTATCCCTGAATAATCTTCTTTTAAGTATTTAATAGCCCCTTTAATATCTTTTTTGCGATTATATGCATTTAACATAATTAACGTTGACACACTATCTGGTTCATATCCCGCTTTTATCATTTCAATAAATACATACCAACATCCTTTAATATTACCTAATAATGCATAAGCCTTCGCAAGTACTGTATAACTTATTATATCGTGAGGAATTCCTTGTTTACACATATAATCAAATGTTTTTTGGGCATTTCTTATTTGATGATTATCAGCAAAATAATCCATCAATGATGTGTAACTAATTTTATCTGGTTCATTATTGTTTCTTTTCATCTCTTCAAATTGGTTGTATGCTGCTTTAATATCTCCAATAGATGCGTAACCATTAATAAGTGAATTATATACACTTATTGTTTTCTGAAATCCATTATTTAACATTCTTTTGATTGTCATTTCTGCTCTATTCATATCGGAAATTTTAACGTATCCATCTAACAATATATTAAAGATGAATTGATTTGGAGAGACTCCATTATGTTGCATTATTTGGATTAATTTTTCTGCCCCTTCTAAATATCGATAATTTACAAAACTTCCCATTAAAACTAAATATGTAATTACATCTATTACAAATTTTTTATTCATCATCTCTTTTAGAATATTTTCAACTGGGCATTCACTTGACTTATTATTATAATCATTCTTTATAAGGCGTGAATTAAATTTATGTTCTCGTAAATCTTTTTTCGTCGCTAACCCTAAAATAATATTAAATGTTCGATTGGTTGGATTAAGGTCTTTACTAAGCATTTCATGATATTGACCCATTGCCTTTTCAAATCCATCTTCATAATCTTTTTCTTTAATATATTGCATAATTATATTATATGTTACATGATTTGGTATTATATTATATTCTCTCATTCGTGACATTAATTCATGTGCACCTTGTATCCCGTGACTGTTTAAATATCCTTTCAAAAGAATGTTAAAAATAAATAAGTTTGGGTCAATTCCTCGCTTTATCATTTCATCAAAGTATCTCAATGATTCTTCAAGATTTTGATCGTTTACATAACCAGAGATGAATGTGCTGTATGTTGCCACATTCGGTCTTAAGCCTAATGATTGCATCCGTTCAAATGTTTTTCGTGCCGTATCAAAATCCTTCATTTTTGTATACATATGAATTAGTATATTAAAAGTTCTTACAACTTGCATATTATGACTAATAATGGCTTCGAATATAGTTTTCACCTTTTCTGGTTCTTCGTTCTGAATGAAAATCGTCATTAATATATGATAAGTATCCAAACATGGTTCTAATTTTAATTTAAGCATTTTATTGTAAATATTTTCTATTGATCGAAAATCTTTGATATCTAAATATCCTGCCATTAAAGTATTAAAAGTTCTTACATTTGGAGTAATTCCGTAATTTTGCATTATATCAAGACACCTTTCTGCACCTTTAAAATCATGTGAATTCAATAATCCATGGATGATTGTATTGAATGTAATAATATTTGGTTTAATATTAAATCGATCCATTTCATCTAACAAATCATATGCACCGATTATATTATTACTTCGTGTATAAGCTAAAATAAGTGTACTGTACGTTTTTATATCCGGCATTATTAAATGTTTCTTCATATCTTGAAAAAGTTCCAAACATTGTCTTATTTTCCCTAATTTTGCATATCTAGTAATTAGTATAAGGTATGTTCCACGTGTGGGTACAATATTTTTTTTGGTTATTTCTGTAAATATCGATTCTGCTCTTGCGATATCTCCAAATCTGACATAAATATTAATTATTTTTTCGTATAAGTGTTTGTTTAAATGTAAGCCAATTGCATCCATTTCTTTACAGAGTCTTTCAATCCAATAAAAAATTCTCTGTTGTTTCCAATTTGATTTAAGCAATTTTGATATTATCATCACGAAATCATTTTCAGTAAATGAATGAAGTTCACCTTTTTTTGATAATTCAAGATACTTTGGCCATATCAAAGGAGAAGTTTCAGTTGAATTATTTAGAACTTGTTGCGCTAAATGTCGTTTTTTTCGAGCATCTTTTTTATGCGTGAATAATTCTGGTACATTAATTGAATGTAAATTGTGGGTTTCTCTTATAGAAATATTTTGAGTTTTTTTTCGTTTTGGCTTATTTATAATGAATTTGCTTTTCCAAAATCGTATAGTAGATAGAAGGGGTGTCGCTGCTAAAGTGAATGTAATGAAGGGGTTCGTCACATGCGTTGAAATATTAAATCTAAATGCTGTTTTATAATGGTAAGATTGATATCGTGACAAGAATCTTTGCATATTATTTTTAAAACGAATGAAAGTTTGCAAGTAAACCATAATATGCTCTGAAAGCGCAGTTCCTTGGTTTTCTTGAGCCGCATTGGTTTGTCACGATTTGAACAGAGATGATCAAAATCAAAGTTCTCGATCAAACTTTTTTCAAACCAACCATATACACGTATATAGTGGATGTGGATTGGTTGATAAAATTTTTTTATCCATCAGGTTCATCAGTTTCTGTTGAATTGTAGATCACAATGTTATTTCGAGCCATTCCATTTGTAGCCAAAAAAGGAGCTTTATCTTTACGAACTGATCATTTCGCACATCGAAAATTTGCTTCTGAAGCGTATAGGAACAAACAAAATCTTATAGAAAAGATTGTTCAAAAATATGCTGTAGACGTATCGCCGGGTCAAAAAGTGAAAAGTGGAGATTTTGTAACTATCCAACCTGAACATGTGATGACTCACGACAATTCGGCTGTCGTCATGTCAAAGTAATTTTATGTTCAAATTATTGGAATTTTATATTTATCAATCATTTCGATTATTCTGATTATAACTTTTTCATCCTGTTCTTTTTAGATTTAAAAATATTGGAGCAAAATCTATTAAATTTCCTAAGCAACCTGTATTTACACTTGATCATAATGTACAAGATAAATCAGAAAAGGTATTTGATTCAAAATTTTATAATTGCTAAATTAAATTGTATTCTATTAAAAAAAAAAATTTATAATTTTCATTAAAGAATTTGGCAAAATATAGATCAATAGAAGAATCTGCCAAATTGCATAATATTGATTTTTATCCTGCTGGTAGAGGAATTGGTCATCAGATAGTTGTAGAAGAAGGTTATGCTTTTCCTTATACATTAACTGTAGCTTCTGATTCTCATTCAAATATGTACGGTGGGATAAGTTGTTTAGGAACACCTATAGTTAGAACAGATGCAGCAGCAATTTGGGCCACAGGTAAAACATGGTGGCAAATTCCACCCATAGTAAAAGTTGAATTCAAAGGGAAATTATCTACTGAAGTTACTGGAAAAGATATCATAATCACATTATGTGGAATGTTTAATAAAGATGAAGTATTAAATTGTGCAATAGAATTTACGGGAGAAGAAAGTATTTATGGAATTAGTATTGAAGATCGATTGGCTATAGCTAATATGACGACTGAATGGGGTGCATTAGCTGGAGTATTTCCAGTAGATGATAGAACAATAAAGTGGCTTAGAAATAGAGTTGATAAATTAGAACTTTTGAAAGATCAAAATAAAAATTTAAAGGATCTAACAAATAATAAACCATTTGTTCATCCTAGAATCAATCATTCTAGAATTGATGAAATTGAAAAAAATCCATTACAATCATCTCCCGAATCATATTATGCAAAGCATTTGACTTTAGATTTATCAACTGTATCTCCGTATGTTTCAGGTCCTAATTCTGTAAAAGTTTCAACATCTGTTGCTAAACTTGAAAAAGAGAATGTTGCAATACAAAAAGCATATATTGTTTCATGTGTCAATTCTCGTGCATCTGATTTAAAAGCTGCTGCTAAAGTCATTAAGGGTCATAAAGTGGCAGATGGTGTAGAACTTTATGTAGCTGCAGCTAGTAGTGAAGTGCAAAATGATGCCGAAGAAAGCGGTGATTGGCAAACACTCATTGATGCTGGTGCAAAGACTTTACCCGCTGGATGTGGACCATGTATTGGTAAACTATTCCGCAAATTTTAAAAATAATTTTTTGTATCATGTTTTGATGATTAATTGTTCCTTTCATAGGTCTTGGTGTTGGTCTTTTGAAAGATGGTGAAGTTGGTATTTCAGCAACCAATCGAAATTTTAAAGGGCGTATGGGTTCACCTAATGCTTTAGCATATCTTGCTTCACCTGGTATATATTATCTATATATTTATATATTATATATTTATATATTATATATTTATATTTTATCTATATATTTATATAAGTTAATCAAAAATTTTATTGAAATTATATTTTTTTCCCTTTTCTTTTTTTAAAAATGTATATAGCGATTGTTGCAGCATCTGCTGTGGCTGGAAAGATATCCAATCCAGCATTTCTATCTACTTCTTCTTCAAATTTTTCTCACGAATATATATCAACACCAAAAATAACTTGTGTAATAAATTCAAATCAGCATAATACAGAAGCAATGTCATTATCAATCAGTGTTGAAAAAGTCATTCCAGGATTTCCAGAAGTTATCAAAGGTCAATTATTATTTTGTAACGCGGACAATTTAAATACGGATGCAATTTATCCTGGTAAATATACTTATATGGATGAGCTTACATCTGAAGATATGGCTAAAGTTGCAATGGAAAATTATGATCCCAAGTTTGCCAAGATAGTTACCAAGGTATTTTATCTTTAATTCTAAATATAGATTATAAAATAATTATTTAAATTATTATTATTAATTTAATAGGGTGACATCTTGGTTGGAGGTTTTAATTTTGGATCTGGATCATCACGAGAACAAGCTGCTACTGCATTAAAAGCTTGTGGTGTAACATTAGTACTTGCTGGATCCTTTTCTGAAACCTTTAAACGTAACAGTATTAATAATGCTTTACTTTGTTTAGAAGCACCTGAACTTGTAAATTTATTAAAAGAAAGATATAAACCGGATGAATTAACTACGTCCACACATCTTAATGCTGAAATTAAAGTGGCCGAGGGTAAAATGTTGGTAAAAGGTTTGGAAAGTTCTGATACAGTATTTAAAATTGGTGTATTAGGAAAAAGTGTGCAAGAATTGTGGGTTGTTGATGGATTAGAAAATTGGGTAAGACAAAGGATATAATTTATTTTATTGTATTTTTACATTTTTTTTTTTTTTTTTGTATTAATAGTTTATAATAGTTTAGCATATTTGTTTAAATTTTATTACATTTATTACATTTTATAAAAGTATTATAATTTAGAAACTTATGAATTTTATATAAATTATTATTAATATTTTGTATTATCGTTATGTCAGCCCTGAGTATTTCAATTGAAAGGTGAAATAAAAATAATTATTATAACATTAATTGATTAGATTTTCGATTATTATAATAATAAATCAAAACTTGAAATTCGTAGTAGATAATATTAAAAAAAATCTATTTTTTATTTAAATCCAAATATCTCGGTCAATATCGATCGTATCACATCACCACCATTTGATTCTCTCAATGAGACCATCTAGCAAGTTATAAATTGTTAGACATCTTAATTTTAAGATCTAAAATTTTTTATGTTATGACTTTAATTATAGCATATTTTTTTGTTAATATATAAAATAAAAATATTTGCCGGAATTTTTTTATGAAATTTCGAATCAAATGATACTAATTTTTTACCAAAAATTAAAAATCACAACAAATATATAAAATAAATAGATGCATCTCATGCTATCTTAGAAAATAACGAAGTTCATCGGTTTTTTAAGAACTTATATGACTATGACGAAAGGGAGGTTATTTTTAATGGTAAATACCGACTAGATGCTATCAAAAATTCAAAGGATAAGTGAGATTGGAAATGGATAAATGACCTAAATATTGACCAAAGGAAATCAAAGTTTATTTTGGAGCGATAACTATCTTTGCTTCTAACTCACTGCTATTTGATTTGCTGGATAGTTTCTTATAAGTCTTTAATCGAGTTATCCTGAGTCTCTACAATCTTTTCCTCTCTTTTATATTATTTGACTACCTCATTTGACCTCTTTCTCTCACGAAAGGAAGTCATATCTGCCATTCCACTAGTGATTAATTCGATATCCACTTCTTCATTATCTGATTTGAATACTTCCTCCAATATTATTTTCTCCAAATTCTCCTGTCTAATTCTCTCGAGATAGTTTCCACGACCTTCTTGTTGTATTTTGATATGGCAATCTAGGCATCTGTTTTCATATTAAAATCCCATACTTCCGTTCCACAGTCGATACAAGGTGTCAAACTAGATTTTCTCTGAAATCCTAAATGTTGTGAATTATTTCTTTATTTGCTGACTTTCTCATAATATATTGTATTTAAAATATTTATATTAAATGTATAACAAAAACTTAATGTGAAGGTATTATTAAATATAATTTATTTGCCACTATTTTTTTTTCCTTTAATTTCTTAATAACTCAATAAGTTAAAAATAAGTTTCAACAAAATCCTTTTTCTGGTTTTGGATAATGACTGTTGGAGTTTGAGTATTAGTCACTAAAAAGTTTTAGAATGACCGTGTTAATGTTGACCCAATTTATGTTGTTGAGAATTTTATAATTTTGTTGAATACTTGCGTTATGACATTTTCTTGAATGTAGAATTCTTCTGGGTGATAAGCAAAAACATTGTTTTTCAACACTTCAATTCTATCAATCTTATTAATCTTACTGAAATATCTCATAAATTTTAAAAAACCAAATCTTTGATAATATTCTTCCCTATATCATAATATAGATCACCTGAAAGGAGTCGTGCAGAATGGAATTTCTTCTCATTTACCTTTAAATTTAATATCATCTATCTATCATACTATTATTATTGTAATTGCCTGGTCACAAGTAAAAAAAACAATAATGGAAAGAATCATTTAATATCTAATTATCAAGTACAAAGTAAAGCAAAAGGTGCAGAAATGAATTGGTTGGTAGTCGTATTGTGAATTTAAAGAATATGGTACTATTCTTCTTGGAAAATCTCCTTCATTACCAACAAACACAGAAATGTATTTCCTGGAATCGGCATTATCTTTTGAGGATATCAAGGATTTCTGAATCATTAAAAGCCAATCGGAAAACATTTTCATAACAATAATCAGAGGTCTATTATGTTTGGCTTTATACACTTTAGCAATATATTTAAAAACCATCAAGACTCTCATCTATCAAGAAAGAAAAATGTTGGTTGTTACAAAAATGCAGTAATGATAAGTATTGCCCATTTTTCGTGTCAATGGTTTTGTAAAAAAGATCAGTTCCTTAAATGCAAAATTAAGAGCTTTCCCAAATATTATGACGTATATAACAACAACTCTTGATGATTTTTCAATCCCGTGTTTAAATGATAATATGATTGGTCTTTGACATTTTAGGTCGAATAAAAAGTTTTTCTTCTGAAATTAATTCCCCTTTTCCATAGTTTTTGTTAAGAAGATACTCATTGCACTTGTTTTTGATTTGATCAAACATATAGGAATATAAAGAAAATAATAGCAAACAAAGCGTCTACATTGAAAGCCCAAATAGTGAGAATGAAGGCCTATAAATAATGAGAAATTCAATCAAATCAACAAATGTGCTCGTACTATTTTGTAAAAAAAAATCGATAGACTCTTTGGAAGTGGAAGAAGTGGAAGAGTTGGAGAGTTTGTAAATTGTTTCGAAGGTGGCATGAAACAAAAATATAAAAACACGTGTAACGACAAAGATATCATATAAATATAAATATATATTTTTTACATATTATCCTCTCTCTCGCCCTTAATTAAAAGAGGAAGAACTCTTTTTTCTCTTAGCTATTCTACAAGAAAGGTGTTCTTTCTCCTCTGTCCCTTAATCTTTACTTGTTCGCATCAAAAAAAACATGTTTCTCTTTCAAGTAAAGATAAAAATTTATCTGAGATTAAATTATTTGTGTAACAAGTACTAACATTTAAATATTAAACAAATTTCTTCGTTTCTAAGTTTTAATCCTATTTATCTATCAAAGAATTTTTTATTATTTCCCAATCTTTATATTTTATATAGTTGATTAAGTTTAGTATTGAACTTCGCGCTTATTGACAAAGATTTTCCCAAGAATAGTTATATTAATTGGGTTATACGTCAAAAAGTGTAATTTTTAGAATAACTGTTATCAGTTTTTTTTTGTCGATTTTTATAATGTTGCATCACTCCCAAATATATTGATGTAAGGTACATTTCTTTCAAGTATTTATTGTTATTTTTCTTATATTATGTCTTGATTTTAAGATTAATCCAACAATACAAAAAAAATAATAATAATCAATTAAACTAACAAAACTTTTTAAGTCTTTTGTTTTTTCAATAATAAAGTCATTATACGTTTATAAAAATAATTAATATATATAAAAATCTCGTGGAGAACACTAAAAAGTTTATAATTCAGAAGACGCAGCTTTTTAAACAAAGGAAATACTATATATGATCTATTGATTAATGCATGAACAAAATTCTACGCGTATTTTTGCAGGATCTTGATCGATCGTTCTATTATAGATTATTAAATTGTTATTGTTGCCATAATGACGAGATATACGACAATGTTGTAACTACTCTACTTTATGCTCTTTGTTATATATACACCCTACATCACATTATACCAGGGACAATTTAATGAATTAAATTTCATTTTTGACAATTACAAAAATTACAACGTTGTTTTGTTTAAAGCACCGCACCACAAAACAATAATAAAAAAAACTATTATACAAGAAACAAAATAAATACAAAATAATAAAACAACCAAATAAACACACGAAATACAATAGGCAAATACCAAATGAATAAACAACCCGCAAATATAAATATAAATGAAAAAAAAAAAATAATAATAATTGTGCAACTATCTTTTTTATTTATATGGAAATAACTTTGATAACCAAATTGCAGGTTCTTGCATTAATGAGTAATGATTAAACATGATTGAATACATTATCTTTATTTCTTCTCAATTATTTACATCTAGTTGTTAATATTATCAAAGATCAAAAAATCTAGAATTTTAAAAAACTTTATTCGAACTCAGTTGAAAGAATAATATTTAAAGAGTGAATTATTTCTTTAGATATTTGAATGCTGCTTCGTTATTTATTAAATGATATTCAAAACTTCTTATTTAAATGTAAAGTTGTTTGTTTGCATTGATGTTTTTGATAATGATTATCTTTATTTGTTGTTGTTACGTTATATGACCCTAGATAGATTATTTTTTTTCCCAAATCGATGCATACCTATTGGTTTAAATATGTTGCACGATTATCAATATTTTTAATTACAACCCCCATCTAAATCATATCTGGTAAAAAAAAATCCCAGTTTTTATTTCGGTTATTTTAACTTCTCCTTCCAATAAGTTCTTTTAAACGAAGAACGAACTGGTGTGTAACAGTGTGATAATTACATGAAACTTTTTAATATTTTCTAATATTTCTAATGTTCTAATGTTCTAACGTTCTAATTTTCTATTATTATCTAACACCAAGCCATTGTTCTTTTTTTTTCCTTAAATACGATTGGTCGAATATCTTTATCACGAATTTAAAAATTTAAGTCACAAATAAAAAACAATTATTTTTAGTATTAATGTAGTTATATATTGTATGCAAAAAATATCTTCTCAAAATACTCAATTCTAACTTTAAGAAATTTTATTTAAATATATCCTTATCGTTAAAAGAAATTTAACTTATTCACTTGAAAGTTTTTTTTTTTTTTTTGATCAAAGTATTCATATTATATCACAAATATTAAAAATGGAATTGCATATTTTTCATGAAAAATATTAATATATCCATATGCTTTCAAGCAATTTTATCAAAATGCCAAAAAAAAAAAAAAAAAAAAAAAAAAAAAAAAGAAAAAAAAAATTGTTTATTATAAACTATTTGCATATTTTAGTTATTTTGGGGATCCAAAGTCCTTTTTTTTTAAAATATCAATATAAATAAAAAAAATATTGGAATTACCAAACCAAGTCTACTTCTGCATAGATTCTATTGTAACCGTTGAATAAAGTCAAGTACAGTTAGCGTCAAAAATTGATCTACATATTATAATAAAAAAAGAAGCTATTTATATCCACGCATATATGCATCATTGATTATTCATTAACTCAGTTATTATGACTTGAATTATATATATATATATATTTGAACGAGGAATTCCTTTTGTTTTCTTCTTCCTTGATATATTTATTACTATTGCTATATAGTGTATCTTATTAGTACCTTTGAATCTTTAATCTTTTGTTTTATTTTATTTTCGTCTTTCCCGTTTTTTTTTTTTGATTCACCAATTCATTATTATTCTTTTTATTCATCATATTATATTTTGTTTTAAAATATCCTCCGTGGTGACTAACTGATTCAATATATCAATTATTAATTTATTAACATGTATGGATTGTTATTTGTTATACTTTTATTATTCAGTAGCAAGATATTTTATTAAATACATATCAATTTTAAAACCGGAACCTTTTTATTTCCGACATAACCATTTATGTAAAAATATTTCCTTAAGTATTTAATTAAATATTTAAATATTCATAGCATTCTACCTAAAAAAATTCTTAGTATTCTCTTCCTAAATTATTCTCTTGCTTTCACAAAGACCACTAAGGTTACTATCCCTTCTTGGGTTTATGACCAAGTCTATAACTCCTTTTACTCCTTGGTTATTAAAGAAACCTCGTGGAAGAATAAAATTTCTATTATCTCTTTTTTAAGAAACAAAAAGACCTTATTATCTACTAAAAAAAAAAAATCCCATACCATAGAGGTTAAAAAATACTCGTTCATCAAAAATTTTTCTATTGTTTATAAATATTTTCGTAAATTTATAAAATTTATATAATTATCCTATATTTATCTTATTTATTAATTTAACCGATTTATTATTCTTCTTCCCTATCCCTATTGTTTCTATTTATTTGTTTTTTGTATCACAATAGAAATACATTCACCCTATAAAGAAATTATTTAAATAATCCTAAGATTCACTTCTATTCTCACTGGTTGAGATAATTTACTTTCTAAAAAAAAAAACAAAAACAAAAAAGCGCGATAAAATAAATTTTTAACATATAAAAAAAAATAATTCCATTCTTACTAGATTATCTTTTACCATTGTTTATAAGAAAAAAAAAACCTTAATCTTTTGATCCACCGATTTTTCCGTCCTTAAATATTCTATCATTTCTCCATTTTATTAATTTTATTATTTATCGCGCGTGGATTATTTCTAAAAAAAGAATCCATTTTAACATATGAACGAATAAAATTTAAAATAAAAAACAAAAGTGTGGACAAATAGCAACTTATAATCTATTTATTTAGTCTATCTAACATAAATAACCTATAATTTTCTTTTATGGTTGAAAAACAAATAAAACCAAAGAGTTTCTCAAAAAATTTTATTTTAAGAAAAGCCATGACACGGTCTATATACAGAACACCTTGGTCTACTGTTAAAGCAGTAACTTTTCCTCCACGTAGACTTTTTCAAAACTCTGGTGCAAGTCGTCGTGGAAGTGTAGTCGGCGCTTTGTCTCACCTTATGGGTAAAGCTTCTAGTATAACAAGTAGAAACAGCAGAATAGAGTTCCCTTTCACTTTAACCGATCAAGAAAACTTACGAGTAGCTGTACAAGAAGAAACGAAACAAACTACACAACTTCCTAAAACAGAGTCAATACAAGAAAATAATGACCGTTTACCACCTCTTCGAAAAAAAGAAAGTAAAAAATTTTTATTGAGTTTCAGTAATATTACGAATAGTAATAATAACAAAAATTCCGGTACAAGTACTCCAAAGAAAAAACAAAAAAGTTCTACTCCAGCGGTAAGTAACTCCCAAGTAACTCCGAATAACCCATAATAACTTATAGCCTAATAATAATAATCATTATTATTTTTATTTTTATTTTTTTTTTTCATTTTAAATAGGTATACGTAATAACAATTGAAGATAAATCTCAATTGTTATGCATTTATAGACAAATTACAGATTTTATTGAATTTGACCAACAAGTAAAAATCATTTATTCTTGTTTCCTTTAAAACTTGAAAATCGATAAAAATAAATACAAAAGAAAAAAATTTTTTTTTTTCTTTTTTAGATTCGTCAAGAATTTCCCAAATCTCGACCCACATTACCAACATTAGATGATCGAAGAAAATCATTTCTTTTACCCAAGCATTTCTTTTTCCGTAAAACGACTGCGGAAAAACTTGAAAGTTACTTACGAAAAGTTTTAACCGATAGTAATTTGAAAAATTTACCCAGCTTACGAGAATTTTTGAGTGTAAAAACTGAAAAGGATTATATAAGATGGAAAAATGGTGCTCTCAATAAACAAATACTTGAAAATAGTCCACCTGACAGTTGGATTCAAGCTGCCATGAGACCAATTTCACAACAAATCAAATCAACGATAGATGATTATGAGTTAATCAAAGTTCTTGGTAAAGGATGTATGGGCAAGGTAATATATAATTTATTTTTTTGTATTTATTTTTTTTTTATATTTATTTTTTTTTTTTTTGTATTTATTTTTTTTATATTTATTTTTTTTTTATATCTATTTTTATTTAATAGGTATTTCTATCGCGTGAGAAAACCACCAACAAACTATATGCACTCAAGGCTATTTCCAAAGAATGGGTAGTTTTTCGTCAAGAAATCGAACACACCAAAACAGAACGAGATATTCTTGCAGCAGTTGCCACAATTACTCATCCATTCATAATCCGACTACGTGAATCTTTCCAGGATAGTAATCGATTGTTTTTAGTATTGGATTATTATCCCGGAGGAGATATTGCCACACAATTAGCAAAATGGCACAAATTTGATGAAGAGAGATGTCTTTTCTATGCTGCGGAAATAATATTAGGAATTGAAGAATTACATCGCTTGGGTATTGTTTATCGGTAAGTTCTCTTTTATTTATTTTATTTATTATTATTATAAAAATATATAATAATAATAATAATAATAATAACTAATGATTTTTCCCTACTTTTAGTGACCTAAAACCAGAAAATATTCTTATAGGTCGAGATGGTCACATAGTACTTACTGATTTTGGATTATCAAAACAATTTAAACCATCGTGGCAAAAAACAAATACTTTCTGTGGAACTGCTGAATATTTGGTAGGTTTTTAATTTATTAAAGAATTATAAAATTATTAAAAATTATTAAAAATTATTAAAAATTATTTAAAAATTATTAAAAATTATTAAAAATTATTAAAATTATTAAAAATTATTAAAAATTATTAAAAATTATTAAACATCTATGTATATTAATTAATAGGCACCCGAAATAATACGAGCAGAAGATTATAGTTATCCAGTGGATTGGTGGAGTTTGGGAACTTTGTTATATGAAATGATGACAGGAATCGTAAGTATTATAAAATTATCGATTTAAGAATTATCATTTTTTTGAAAAAATCAAATTATTTAAAGTTCATTTTTTACATCTATTATATAGACACCGTTTTGGGCAGAGGATCAAAATCGAATGTATCATAGAGTATTAGAAGATGAATTAGAATTCCCAGAAGGAATGTCACCAGAAGCGATGAGTTTATTACAAGGGGTAAGTTTATGATAACATATAAAGGTTTAATATAGCAAAAAAGTGATGTAAGAATAATAAATAATAACGAATAATAACATACTGTTGTTAATATTTCTAGTTATTACAACGTGATCCGCGAAATCGTCTTGGATGCGGTTCCGGAGGATCCTTAGAAATAAAAACACATCCATATTTTAGTTGCGTTGATTGGGATGATGTTTTTCATAAACGAATATATGCGTCTTATATTCCAACTATTGAACATTCAACCGATCTTCAAAACTTTGATGATACATTTGTTAGTATGTCACCTAGATTATCTACACCTAGACAAGAAGTTCCTATAAATATGCAACAATATTTTGGTGGTTATTCATTCTCCGGGAAACATCCACCGTTAAGATCACAAACCTCATCCTATATAAGATCAAAAAGTATCACTAGTTCTATGGCTGGAATTCCATCTCATGGTAGTCAATCATCAACCACTTTATCAGGATACGATCAATACGACGAATATGATTATAATGAAATATTATATAGTCGAGGAATTGATATTGCCAATAATAATAACAGACATTCACGATGTGATGATATAAGCGAATTTGAATTGGATCATTATTCTAAACGTCACACCATTATGATTGGAGAAACCAACAAATTTCGAAATAATCTTTCCATGATTTCACAGTTTGTAATGGATGAAACTCTCATGAACAATTCATCAGCATCATCTTCAGCCACAAAGTTAGAACGAAGGGGTGCTTTATCTAATATATATAATAATTATTCGTGATTTTTATTCACAATTTTTCTTAATTTTCATTAAAGCATTTATCATTACAAATCACAAAATGGATAACGTGGACAACATGGACAAACATGGATAGTTATGTTTGATAATTAGAAACATTTTAAACAATTTTTTGTGGGAAGCTAGACATGCCGGTCTTGTTTGTGCTTTTGACATCCTTTTTTTTATTTTTGTGATTTTTTTTTTCATTTTTTTTTTGTAGACAGATACATTTTTTCTTGGTAGTGGGTTGGTTTTTTTTATGTTACACATGCAGGGTATTTGTAAAATTTTCTGGCATGGTTTTTCTCGTAAAATTGTACATTAATTATGTATTTTTAATGTTGAAAAATCTGTAAATATAATTGATCAGCAAAGAAATTCAAAATATCAAAAATATCAATTTTAGCATCTTTAATAGTAAACAAAATGGATGATAATTTTATCACTTTTATCACATCTTTGATAAAGTTTTATATTATATAATATAAAATATATATTATTCATATTATATAATATAAATATATTCATATAAATACATATAGAGTTTAAACTGTATAGAAAATTCCAGGTTTCTAAATATGAACCGATTAAGAAATAAAGAATTATTTGTTTATAAACAAATGATTTTATAAATTTTCATCTTCTATTCTCTTAAATTTTATAAAATGAAATCCCCATCTGAGTCAGAATCATTAAATGCAATGACAAATGTAGGCTTTTATTCTTCTACATATAAATGTTTTTTCATTTAATTATTTTTAGGAAATAGAGAAAAAATTGGTAAATTTTTCATAATTGCATTTGAACCTTTTAATTTAATGCACATTATCTATTCATAATTCTTTTATTTATATCTCTTATTCATTTATTACTATATGTGACCATCTCGAACATCATTAAATATTTTTGCATGTTATCCTTTTTGTTTTTTGTACAAATATGTTCAGCACTTGCATTAAAATCATGCATATACTGTATGCAAGGACGGAGAAGATATTATGCATGTATGCAGGTTCAGAAAAAGGGGATAAATTATATCCTTCTTTAAAATAAATATAAAAGCTGTCGCGTAAATCGGCGATTCTTTGACGCGTCAAAAATATATTTCCTTAAACGTATGTTAGACAATTCTTTAAACGATTATTTGTTGAACCATTTATGTTGATTAACCTATCAAAACCTATCATTATTTTTTTTTATCGAAGATCACATATTTGCTACATTAATTTTAATTTATAACATTAAATTTTTTTTTTTTTTTGAAATAACCTCACAAATAAACTAAGATTAAAAAAAAAAAACTTATTTAGTCTTTCAATCCTGAAATCAGTAAAAAGAAATGTCGGAAAATTATTCAACTTACGAGTTTTCAGCCTCTACACCTCTCTGAAACCTTAAGGATTTCAGAATGTAACAAATTGAAATTTTTAATTTCAGAACGTGGTACATCTAATTTCTGATTTCCAAAAATAGATTGATGCAGAATACAAGAAACATACTGGTATTTTTTAAGCTTGGCAAGAATTTTTTTTTCTGCAAAGAAAATTCTAAAATTCTATTTCGCAATTTGTAAAGTTGAGCTCCGTTTGGATATTACATAACGAAGTTCATCATCTGTGTTTCGGTCTACATCAAAATATTCGTTTCATATTAAATTATTAATTCTAAATTATCTTTTAAATCTCAAATTTTTCAAAAAAAAATGATAATTCGTACGGAACATTAAACGGGACAACAAATTAACCTAGTATTTGTACTTTCAAATGCGCAAATGTATAAATTATTAATAAAACAGCGGATATTATTTAATCAATAGTTATGCATAACGCAATAAACAAGGTACAAGACTTTATAATGTCATATAAGTAAATCACGTAATTTATGAAAATGACGTGAAGATTATATATTTGCTAAAACATTTTAATAAAATGTCAATGTCAAGATTATTATTTTCTTTTTCTCCCAGTTACCCGTTGTATATTTTTTTTTTCGGGCGTCAAATCAGTAAGTGTAATAAACAGGTGTGCATTTTCATTATTATCGGGTGTATGGGTACATGCATCCTGAATATAACTTTTCAGATCAGTCCTACTTTTTTCAAGCAATTCCTAATAACATATAACAATTGAAAGTTTGTAAAAAAGTTTTAGCAAACTAATTAATAAACATGCGTGTGTCGGTAAAAACAAACCTTGAATTTAAGGAACACCAGCGCAGATCGTAATATCAAACCGAATATTCTCACATAAAAATGTACAATCCGCGAAACGGAATAGACATCTCGTACACAATTACTTCATTATCTGTAAGAGGAGAATGTCAGTTTTATATATAATATTGACAATTTCAAAGTTGGCAATACCTACAATAAACATGTAAGCCATACAAATTTACTAAACTCGAATCAATGCCCGTTCCACCATACTTCCTCACGATCCTATTTATAATAACCTTTAACATCTTTGCAATTTTAATTTATCGTTAAAGAAATGTGAATGATCAAGTTGGTTCGGTAGTCCACTGATTTCCCCAATCGAGAACTCCAGATCGGTTGGCTTCATCGACCATATAATATCAATTTTGCGACCAGAATTACAAACATTTCTCACCGCTACACTCCCTGAAAATTTTAAAAAAATTACTAAAATTAAAATGCTAATTGTGACACAATGAGTGAACAAACTTTTTTTTATTAAATTCCCCTAAACTAGGGCTATCATATGATATGTTTTATGTCAAAACCAAGTACCTACATTTGGAGTAATCTACACTTGAAATAAAATTGGCAAAAAATAATAAATTTAATCTTTGATCGTTACCTATACCGCATTCAATGAATATTAAATATAGATACCAACTATCTTATATAGAATTGTAGCCATAAATGTTATCTACAATTTTAATTAGAAGTATTTATCGCAGTATCTAGTGAAAATTTTGACTTTACTTAGACGTGAATAAAAACTGCTGAAATTTAATAAAAATAAAAATTGAAATAAAAAAATCTGAAAATAATTATCAATCGTTTATACATATAAAACTTAATTTAACAATAAAAGTAGTACTAAGTAACATTAAAGTCTGAGATATAGAGCACCTTTTGTAAAAATTTCAATCCTATCTATTAAGAATTGAATGAATAATACATGTTAAATTTCAGAGAATAATTTTAGACGTCCGAAATTTAACCGTTAATATTAAACTCAATTCTCAATTTAAAAGTCTAAAACTTTTACAGTAGATGCTCCATATATTAGACTTTGACTTTACTTAGTGTCATTTTTACTATTATATTAATACATAAAGAAGTTTTATATGTGGTTACGATTGGTAATTATTTTCGAATTTTTTTTTTTTAATTTTTTAAAAATGATCGACACGGATTTTACTAAACTAAATATTTATAAAAATTCAAAAATAATTATCAATTGTAGTTACATATAAACCTTTTTTTATTAATATTAAAATAACAAAAGTTATACTAAGTAACATTAAAGCTAAGAATTGTGTGCCTTTACTGTAAAAGTTTTAGAAGTTTTAACAAAAATTGAAAATGTAGCTATCATTTAAATTTTAAAGAAACCTTATATAATAATTAATACAATTTTTATTTATTTTAACTGGATATTACTAAAGCTCACCAGTGGTGATTTTCTAAAACTTCAGATTCAATTTTATTTCATTTCTCCTTTAAACAATCATTAATTCATTAAGATTTTTTGGATGTGGATCATGTTTATAAACTTTTCTTTTTAAAATATTCTATAAATACTCAATTGAATTGAAATCTGAAGACTGTATTAGTCAAGAAATATTTTTACTGAATTATTTTGCATAATAAACAGGTATATTATTATCTTGAAAATCATATTCTAAGTTATTATCTAATTCATTAACAAATGTAAATAGGTGATTTTTTAATTTCTATATTACTGGTCAAAATAGGAAATATCAGACACTTATCATATACCTATCAAGAACCCAATAGGCATACGATAGGTGTCTGATATTAACAATTATGTAATATATCAGGCATCCAATTGGTAAGTCGAAATGCAGAAGTTCGGACATTTATCGGACCCATATCGGTTTCATATTAGGCATTAATATTTTAACATTTTATTCAAATTTATCATTCATATATCGGACATCTGATTTTATTTATTTTTTTTATCAGGTACATATCTTTTATAGTATATTCCTATATATTAGGTATGGTATATCTCTGTGTATCAGGTAATTTTTTTTTCTATCAGATATCTATTGGTATCTTTTATTTATATATATATATTTTCACTTTTTTTTTATTTGCAAATTATAAAAAAAGATAATAAAATAAAATACATTTATTATGAAATTATAAAATAAAATATATTATATATACTATATAAAATGTTTATATTTAAATTTATCTAATTATTTTTTTGATTTTTTTTTTTGATTTTTTCTTTTTTTCTTTTTCTTTTTCTTTTTGTTTTCTTTTTTTACTACTAGTTTCTACTTCATAATCATTATTATTATCTTTCCATTTTCTTTTTTTACTACTTGTTCCTACTTTATGATTATTATTGTTATCACTATTATTATTATCATCATTTCGGTAGTAGTATTTGGGTTATAGATTAGAATAATTCTATTTTTTCACTTTAATTTTCTATATACTGCCATATTTAACATCTAAATTGGAGTGTTTTTTGATATTTTTATTTTTGTTAGTGTATGTCATAGAGATTTGATTTTAGTTTTTAGCACTTTTAGTGATTTGTACACAATATCGATTATTGGGTCAATTCTTTTGTGCAGTAACTTTTTTAACTATAAAATATCATTTATTAATATCATACCCAATAGATGTAAAAATATTATTACTATTGATCTACTTACTGAATCAGATTGTCACTATTTATCTTTAATAAAAATTGATATTATTGTTTTACGTAAACAGGTAACAGTGGTAGCAGTAGTGGCAGCAGTGATAGCAGTGAAGATGGTGGCATCTG